CCTTGGATCTTTTCTCCAGCATGTTGAAGAACCACCGTACCCTCACCCGTTTTTATAGTATCCAAGGTGTTCGTGGAGGATCCAGATACCATGGAAGTCGTGGCGTTCCTGTAATTGCTGAAGGTCAGGGCCAATGGGTGGCAGTTTCGGGCCTACCAAGATGCTGGTGGTGAATTTGTGGCCAACGGGGCAGAGAGGGCTGAGACAGCCGTCGGGGCTGTAGGCGAGCAATGTGAACATGTACGTATTCGTTACAATCATTGCACAGAGCCGGATTGGTGTAGGCTCGAAGCAGCGATTGAAGCTGTCGTGTCTGGCTTTGTCTCGATTGAGGTTGGCGGGTTACCCATGACCAGTTGGTAGTAGTGTTGGCGCCGGGCCATTGCCGCGATAGCTCCTCTAAAATTGTTAGTAAGTTTGGTGGCTACTCCTATTTGTGTCCAAAAAAGAGGAGCCACCCAAACTGAGCTGCAGTCAAAATACCCGGGTAAATAAATACATACTCATTAGCATTTCACTGAACCTTCGTGTGTACACGGTGGGAAACCCTAGCTCACCATATTAGGGTTACCCGGTGTAGTTCTGAAATAGCCCTAGTAATTACCCTAGAATTTATTGCGATTGTTATAATTTGTAAAAATATTAATAAAAAAACTCTTTGTGAAAAAAAAATGGGTTCTTTCTGTAGCCGTGTAAATATAATACATATCTATGTTCATAATATTAATTTAGAGTGTGTTGGACATAGTCTTCCGAAAATTGAACATTGAAGGCTAATAGGCTTTTTATACATACAACATAAAAAAAACATAATAGAGGACACTTGGTTTATTTTCTTTGACAAAACGATGTTTTATAAAGGTTTCTTTCCAGAGTAATTCCTCGACTATATTTCTTGCGAATCTAAATAGTAGCCAGTAGTTCCCTATGAACGGTCCTAAGAGTAAATACAAAGTGGACCTGTAGCAAACGGATTGGCCTATTATAACATTTTTAAAAAACATGTATATCTTGTCGAGTGTATATTCAGCCTCAGTGCTCAGGTATTTACAATTGTTTTAAATGAATACACAGCATTCTATCAACTGTACATTTTTAGATTGTATTCAAAAATATAAAATCAAAGTTAAAAACAAACCAAAATTTAATACAGTATCAGTATGTACAAAAAACCCAAAACAAAAATCCTTATTTTTAAACCTCATTTTTATAAAATACTGAATTATAAAAAAAGTAAAAATTTAAACGAAAACTGAACTCTGAACTTTACTTCTGAAATCCGAACTCTGAAGTCTTTTTTTTTATAAACAATTTATTTATTTAAAAAATAATTTTCCGAAAATAATTTTTTTATGTTTTAAAACAAATAATATTTTATTAAAAAAAATACATTTTGAAGATCGAATAAAACAGAGTCAGGCATTACGACCATAGCATTTGTCTAAAATTTAAATACTGCTGGTATGAAAATACGAGTGATTATATAACTAATCTGCGGTATAGCTAGCGTGTTACTCTGATGTCTGATAGCAGGTAGGGTATTGATACACTTTACATGTTATTGTGACATGAAGTTTGCTAATGTATGTTTACTAGGTGCTACAGTCGTAGTGGTGACTGTGGCCGCACAAGATCTGAATGAAGCTGATAGTATTTGTTGTGCACAAAAGCTTCGAGGTGGTCTGGTTCCAGAGTCGTTCTCGGATGGACGACTTTGTAGCTCGTATGAGTGCCCTGGAGATTACTTCCACAACACCGATTTACTAGACCAAGAGCAATGTGTTAATGGGTGCAATGTAGACACTTGTTGTCTAACGACAGAATTGTACGAGGTGTATCTAGATAGCCTAATTCCCCGGTCAAATTTCACCATCATCATCGAAGATGTCTTCGGCAATTCATTGGTTGGATTTGTAACCGTCACTAATACAGCAAATGCTGATGAGACATACACTTCAAAGAACTCGACAAATCTGATCACTGTCTATCAGGGAACTACAAATCACGAAATTGTCGTTGTTGATGTCGACCCAGCTTATCGACTTATCAAGGAAGATGGCGGCGATAGCACTTTGGATGGTACAACAAAAAAAAAAGCTGATAAGAACAGGACGATCAAATTTATATATGAGCTAATCCGATACTGTTCGGAGGAAGTCGGTGGTTGTGGTGTCGGGGAGTTTGTACAATTTCCGAGCAAGGCTTGCGTTGACAATACCTGTAATGAGTGCTGCGTGCCAAAACTCTGTGCCGAATTCGCATCCTGCGATGGTCGTAAGGACCACACTACTGGTGACGAGGAATGTACTGATAATGTTTGCTCGAACTGTTGCGGCACTTGCTACGATGGTCTTCTCGATAAAACCGAAGAGTGTGAATACAAGGAAGACATTGATAAATGGATTGTGCCTAAGGGATCCGCCAGCGGCACCGACAGTGGCGTGCCCGACTATGACTTCTTGGATGCCACCAAGCAATGCGACTCTGATATCTGCATCATAATAGAATGTACGGCAACGGAGTCGTGGCAACGGATTTGTATGGCGAACTCTCATTGGATTCCCACCGAGTTTGTCCATACGCTGGACGTGCCGAAGTTTGATGTTTCACTCGTACCAGTGGATATTAGTAGTATCGACTACCACGTTATCGGCCAAGTTGCTGGTGATATGTTGATTGAGGACGCTCGTGCCAAGCAAGAAGGCGAAATTGTCGCTACCACATCGTTCGCCTCACAGCTGAAGTTCGAATCCAGTACTGTTGGTATTTTGACTGTCACCCCCAAAATGGATGAGGTGCACCTCATTGCGCCTGGGGGCAGTCTTCTATTGTCATCCAAGGATGGTGAATACTACGCAATCGCCCAATTAACCGGTGTTGTCGACGAAGCGAATTACGATGTATTTGCGGGTGCTACCGGCAGTTCGCATCAGGTAACTCTCACGGGTACATCGCAAACAACTGTTGGTGGGTTTGGTATGAGTGTTACGATAGCTAACAATGCTGGAGGTGCCTTCCGTATTCGTTACAAATACAATTGGTGCCCAACCCCTCTAACTTCCGCGAGGGGTACCTTCGAGGACCACAACGACGCGTGCATGGACATGCCTCGCGATGAAACTTGGGCCGATGGACCGTCGTGTGGTGATGGTGTACAGAACTTAGAACTAAACGAGGAGTGTGATTACCTCGCAGGCACCACCGAGACACTTCATTGTTCCGACGAGTGCACGCTGGTGGGCAACACTTGCGGTGACGGGGTGGTGTGGGGAGACGAAGAATGTGATTATACGATCGATGGTAGTATTGTGCAGGACGAGTTTGCTACGTACCCGCCTCCCGAGAGTTCTCGATGTCGCAAGACCACCGATGCCACTGGCGGCACGCATTGCACTATTGAAGCCACAATCTGCGGAGATGGCGTCATCACCGACAACGAGGACTGCGAGTATGTAGCCGGTGAGCGAGGTCAACTAGCACCAGCCGATGAAGGAATCGGATATTGCTTAGACACATGTGATGTGACACCAATTGTCGATTGTACAACCAAGCGTGTACCTCTGTGTGATTGTGACACGGAAGTGTTGTACACAAATTATGTGCAAACAGCGGAACCTTCTTTGTTTGGTAATTCAATATGCCTCGACATGTTCGGAAACGAGTTGACCTTCTCAGCCGGAGTTGCCGAAGGATTGAATGAGGGTTCGTGTATATGTGTTTGTTACAACGGAATTAACGATCCCAATGAAGAGTGTGATGTTGGCCCTGAAGACGGTTCTCTCAACAGCCGAGAGACGTGTGTGAATTGTAAGATAGTTAGCAGTTACTGTGGAGATGGTATCGTTGACCCGCTTCAAGGGGAAGAGTGCGACCGGCCGTGGTCATATGACCCAGCTGATGATAAGTACTATGAGGGTGGCACTAAGTTCTGCAATTCAAAGTGCAAGCTTCAGTCCGTTGGCGAGTGTGAATGGTTAGAGTATGACACCGACTGCAGATGTTCTAGCACGGACACTTTGAATGGAGATATCGAGACCACCTACAAAACTGTATTGGAGGCTCAGCCTCAGGGCTACTTAGGGGGTTGCCCTATTGAGCCAACGTACAGACCTTGCGAGTGCGATTGCGTTGGTGAATTCGTGCAACGCACCGACAATAAGCTCGATGGCAAACCACCTATCTGTCTAGCTGCAAACAATGGACAGTGCGTCACGCAATACTACTTCAGGAAGACGGCCGGTGTGGGTAATTGGTGTGATCACGTGGAAGGTGATGAGTTGGCACCCTATCTCAATAGAGAGGGAATTAGGTCCCTGGACGGACGAGCTTATGTCACCGCAGACGCAGAAAAATGTCCATCAGAGAAATGTCGTATGTACTTGTGTTTTGAACGTTCGTGCTTGCTTTCTATCGTATGCATACCTTACAGCCTGTATTTATATATATTTAGTGTCAGATTGTTCATTCCTACCCCTATTTTTATTTTGTTTTACAGACGCACGTGAGGAGTGTTTTGAACGTTCGTGCTTGCCTTCTATCGTATGCATACCTTACAGCCTGTATTTTTATACATTCAGTGTCCGATTGTTCATTCCTACTTTCTTCGTTCGAAATGTTTTACAGGTGCATGTGAGGAATCGTACACAGACGAAAAATGCGATCAGCCCTGTGGTGAAGGTAATGTAGTTGGTATCTTTAAAATCGACGTGACTCCAGGCGCCGCTTCCGCCTATACCTACGGTATGGGCAGAAGTCTCCGATGCTCTCACAACGCTGACCAGGAGGGCAATTATGCGATCATCCCCGACCGCGAGAGATGTACCGGTACGTTCCCCATGAAAACGTGGAAGCGTACGTGCAATTACACCGAGTCGGGACTTACGCTCGGTGGCTTCTCGTTTGAGTCCATCAATACGTTCTATCGCGGAGGTGAGACTATCCCCGATCATGTGGAGCCGGCTGCGGTTGAGCCTGACGTGAAGAGTGTCACCTTCACGTCCGGAGTGGTGATGGATGCAGATGTCGACATCGAGAACATGGGCGGAGCAGCGCAGGTCTTTACCGTGACACTCGAAGCCACCGTCAGTCAGGTGTTCAAGAAATCAGCCTCGTTCATTGCCGATACCACCACGGAGCTTATGGAACACATTCACGCGGAGGGGCCCAACAGCACCAGCAGTCTGGCACCCGGTGACAGTGAATCTCTGGCATACCATTTCGCGGAACCCGCCCAAACAAACGTGTATGCACCCGCGGATGACGACTTTGACACATTTATGGGAACGTCAAAGAATGATGTCAGACATCTCATGACACTGGCCGGTGGTGATGCGCTCGTTGAAGGAGGTGGTGGCAACAGTATGGTTACGATTACGGGTACCTACTCTACCCAAATGGTCGTGGAGTTTGTGTACGATCGGTGTGATGCGGATTCGGCTACATACTACAACAACGAGAACGCCAAATGCACAGACGATGTGGTGGTAGAAGATCCGGTGGTTGACGTAGGGGATGTAGGAGTGGTCTAGTGAAACTTGTTAGCACTGTACATAGGATATAAATCGAGTTATATACACTTATCAAGCTTAGTGGACTTGCTCAGTTGAGACGTAGTTTATTCCGAAAGTGTATACGTTTAACAAATTGATTCGCACATATTCTATTTGTATATATTTATATATATTATCATGTTTCAGTGAAGCCGAAGGGTGCTTACTTATATTCAGATCGTTGCAATTCCGTGAGTCATGATGCAAAACATTCTCGCTATGAATGCAACCTTCGAGCCAATACTGAAGCACAATTTAGAATTCAGATGAAGTGTCCTGCACAATGGCATATGAGTCTGAGTTTGCATGTAATGGTACAATGTTAGGAAGTGTGGGCATATTCCCGGAGCAGGAATAGTCCAATATTCATTGTAAGTGTATCTGAGATATGCGCAATAGGGTGCACTCAATACCGTAGTGATGAATTGATAGTGC